CGAACACAGGACACAGCATGCTGAGGCCACACCCTCCCAGGACCACTGGAGTCTCCTCAGGATAATTATTTATTATTCATAGTCATCAGCATCTTCATTAATTATTCATATGATCCTTAATTATTATCCTTAACAATAAGAGCAGTAAATAGCAGAAAAGTCCTTGAGGTGCCTAAGGCCCAGGCCCGGGTGCCTCCGGGCAGTTAGACCAGCTACTGCCCCCAGAGCAGTGGGGGGACCACAGACCCCCATCCACTGCCCGGCCCTGCCCCTGTCCCTGCCCCTCCCACTGGGGCCCTCGGGACTGCAGGAGGAGATGGTCCCAAGGGCTGGGGAAGGGCTGTGCCTTTGAGTTCCTCTCCCCTTCTCGGCCAGGGACTCCCGGGCAGAGCCTCCGAGGGGAGGGGCCCAGGCAGTGCGCTGAACCCTGGGTAAGCCATGTGTCCACACTGGGCAGCCCCACTAACTCCCCGGGTCTGAGCCGTGTCTGTGCAAGGGCTGGGAGGTGAGGGCGCCCAGCTGGCCCGGCAGGGAGAGGCGTCGAGTGGGGCCGTCTTGGGGAAGCTCTGGGCCCCCTGGGGGCAGCTCCTCACATACCATGAACTGGGAAACCTGAAAAGAACAAAGAGTATAAGAGGCAAGGAACCCGTGGAGGGGAAGGGAGGGGATGGAGGGGCAGTCAAGTGGACAGAGACGGTCAGGAGAATCTGGTGACAGAGGACAGCAGGATAAAAAGGGGTCGGAGGGGACAAGTTGAAGGACTAAGGAAGACAGAGCAGGACACAGATCACAAAGGGAGGCGCTTAGGATGGAACAGGGAAATGTCCTCTCAGTTGGCAAGAGCCAAACAGGGCAGGTGTCAGCTGTGGGAGCTTTCGCCCGACATGGGAAAAACTGGAGGCCACAGCTGCTTCCTTCCCCNGGGGCTGCTTCTGCCCGCCCGCCCTCACCCGATCAGGTGCCCAGCCTCAACTGCACTGTCCTCTCTGTGCCCCATCAACCTGCCCCATCCCGAGACCACGTCCCCTCCAGTCTCCATTTCTCCAGGACCTCCAAAACTGTCCTCTCATACCGCAGTTCTGGAATCTCCCACCCCCACCCCAGCCAACAGGTCTGCCCACCCTCAACAGGCCCTCACTGACGGGGCCCCTCCACCCCACCTTTGGCCACAGCCCACTCCCACACTTTCCAAGCTCCTCCAAGCTACGGGGATAGCACAGGACTGGGCACCTACCTGGGTGACCTTCTCAGTGACATTGTGGGTCCGCTCCTTTATCTTTGGTGCTATGATCTCCCGGTCGCTGGTAGGTGAAGCCAGGAAGGGGTCGCCCTTGAGATCCACAAAGTTGAGGGTGATTTGGGGAATCTTGCTAATGGTGCGGTAACGCACGAGGTCCGAATCTGACGTAGAGTTAAGCAGGCTGCTGCGCAGGGGGTGCATGGCCCCTGGAGTGGAGGGGAAAGCGGGGTCAGGGCAGCAGGCAGGGGGTGCATGGCCCCTGGAGTGGAGGGGAAAGTGGCCTCAGGGTGGCAGGCAGGGGCAGACACAGAACTGAGAGGAGACCAGGCCCTGCAGGAGCCAGGCCACGGGGGTCAGTGTGTCATCGAGGCCAGTTCAGGAGACAGGCAGTCACTGAGAAACAAGTCAGGCTCCTCCCCGCTTGAAGGAAGCACACCATGATGAAACTATGAGATGACAGGAGGGAGGGCCTCCGTCAGGGTCTGTTCACCAGCGCTGACTGGCCAGAGGGCCAGGTGGAGGCAGGGACCCAGATACCTTTCTGGCCCTTTAGCCTGGGGGTGGCCATCCCTGCTCCAGGCCATGTTGGGGTATTCAGCTCCAAGAGCCCTCAAAGGCTCTGAGAGTATAGAAGAATGTAACGGGATGAATGGACATTTAATGGAGTAAAAGGCCACTTAATGAGATTAAATAAGAGCTTTAATGGGATTTCCATCTCCCAGGCACTCAGGACAGGGCGGAGACCACGGAAGCGCAGATCCTGGAATGGGGCAGGCCTGGCAGGTGGGGGAGGGTGCCCTCACCGGTGCTGGCGTGGCGTGGCGGCGGGGGCAGCGCCCCAGTGCGCATGGCCTCGATGTCGTCGGCCGAGGAGGCTCGGCGAACGCTGGCGCAGCTCTCTCGGGAGCGCGTCCGGGCCAGGCTGCAGCTGGAGCCCGAGGCATCCGGGTTGAGGCTGTGCGCCCGGGGCGACGGGTGCGGGCCGGGTGCACAGGCGGGCGGGGAGCTGGGGCCCACCAACGCGCGCCGCTCATCCGTCGGCCCGAGCCCTGCCACGTGGTTATCCATGGCTGTCACCTCGTCCAGGGCCAGCGACTCGCTGCTGGGCGCCGCGGATGTCAGGTCCACGTCCACCACCACCGCCCCTGGGGCACCCGCGCTGACTGCGCCGCCCGCGCTGCTGGGCCGCACGGAGGACTCGCGGGCCGTCAAGGCCAGCAGAGCTGGCAGCTTCAGGCGGAAGGTCTTGGCGCGACCTGCGGGGAGAAGGGAAGTGGGTATGTGGCCTGGGGACAGGAACAGCCCGAAGCTGGAGCCCCTGCCACCCAGAGGAGGAAAGGGGGGAAGTGGGGGTGTTGACAGCCGGCACTCCTCCACCCCCACATCCACTGCACAGAACTCAAGTCACAAAAAAACTCTAGAATACAGGCTCTGGTAATAAACTACTATTTCTTGAGCCACGTATCACCCTTTTCCACACAAACCATCAGTGACTCTCAAAACCGCGCTGGTGGGTATCATTATCCCCATTTTAGACATGAGGAAACGCAGGGATAAATGAGTTGTGTGACCTGCTGGAGGCCACACAGTACATGGTAGGGCCTGCCTCAGAGTGGGGGAGAGACGCCAGCCTTCCTGGCCACCTTGCAAACGGCCCCTGTAGAACAGGTAGGGTCGGCATTAACACTGCCACTTTAGGGCTTGAGAAACTACGAAGTGGAATGTTTTGCCATGACTCTGAGGGACAAATTAAAATTAAGCCTGAAGAGGCCATCATGAGGGGGATGGGGGCTTGAGCCTTTGAGTCATGGGGAGATGAGGTGAGACCTCCATGTCTCCAGCCGTGGTGAGCTCTCCCCTCGAATCCTCTTCTCAGTTAGCCCAGGCCACAGCAGGGAGCTGGCCAGTCCAGGCACGGGGACCAGGAGCAGAAGTTTCCCAGAGAGACAGTTGAGTCCCTGAGAGACAGGGCCGTCTGATGAGCAGAGGGAACAGCTCCAAGGTGGCCAGGGCCATCTGGAAAGAGCGAATCCCCTATCCATGGGGCTGGGGACACCTCTCTCAGGGGACGCTGTGGTGGGAACCCAAGCAGATAAAAGCTAGGACACCAGCTACGATCCTGCCCCAAGAATCTTTGAATCTGGGCTCAATCTGTCAGTGTCCTGAGCCGTTGGGACCAGGCCACATCCTCGGTGTTCTCTCCCCACCCTCTGAAGGGACCCCTACACACACATCCCTTCCTACAGGGCAACAGCCTTGGGCATGTATCCTCATAGCCCCAGGGAAGGGAGACCTCATATTCCTGCAGCAGCCTGACAGCCCGGCTGCACCTACCTGGGGCCAGCCAGCTGGTGGGAGGACCGCGGTGATTGGTGTCACGGGCCGGGGACCCCACCATGTCCTTCTCCATCACCACCTCAAAGTTGAGGATGAACATGATGACAGCCCCATCCTCATTCTTCACGGGCACCACGTCCACCAGGCACAGGAAACAGCTCCCTACAGAACAGGGGACACGACCACTGTGGCACCAAGGCCTCTCTATGTGCAGGGCAAAAACCTGAGGGGCCTGTCTACTTCTGCCTCTCCCATGGCCCTACACAAAGTCCCACCCCCTCTTTGCCAGCGTCTCCTGCCCCAACCCATCCTCCTGCCGTTTGCTGCCAGCCAGCTCCTGGCCTCCATCTGCCCGCTGCAGCTTGCTGCTGGCGAGGCGCTCCCTTTCTCGCCACCTGTCTTGCTTCTCTAGCCTTCTCCCCCTGTGCACATTCTCCCTCACACTGCTCCTTTCCTCCCCCACCTTGTCATCTCATTTTCCCCTGTCTCTCAGTTTATGCAAGCCTTCTCTCTGTAAGGCAGTGTGGCATTGTGGTTATGCCCAGACTTTAGGCCCGGGGTCTCTGGGTTCAGAAGCCAGCTCTGCTCCTTACTCAGTTACACATTAATTAGTCTTACATTTTTTAACCTCCCCGTGCCTCATTTTCCTCACCTATAAAATGGGAATGATCATCATTCCTTTCTCATGAGTTGTAAAGATTAAATAAGCCAACATATGCCAAGCACCTAGGGCAATGCCTGGCATGCCCTGAACACTGTGCACAGGTTAGCGATGCCTCTGTGCCCGTCTTTGCTCTTCCTATATGAGTCCCCAGCTGTTGTGTCGGTCCACAACAAGATGTGTTCAGAAGCTGAGAGCAAGAGTTTCAAAACCCTTACAGCAATTTGGCATTGCCATGGTATCCAAGCATGTGATTTTGTATTTCCCAAAGGTATTGGTCTTGGTCTGTGACATATTAAAGGAAAGTGATCCTTCACCAAAGAGTTGAGAAGCACTGCTTCTAGGTCTTCCACCTCAGTCTCTCCTTGTCTTTTTTTTCTCTCCCAATCTCTCTCTGTCTGGTCACCAGAGGCATGTCCCTCATGTCCCTCTCTTCCCAAGGCAGAGAGTTCTTTCTTTTCCCATTTCCCCTGCTCATGTCTTCTCTGAACTGTAGGGGCCTAACTCACCAGTATTTGCATCCCTTCCGATGGGCCCAGCACCTAGAACAACTCACCAGGGAGCAGGCACTGACCGGTGGGGTTAGTGACGGGGCAATGCTGACGCTGAGGGAGGGGCCAAGGATAGAGAGTGGTGGAGAGGAGGTGGCAGTGGTGCACTGAGTCAAGGGAGAGGCCTGCAACCTGGGGGAGCTCTGGATGGTGTTTGATGCCGGCCACCAGGCCCGGTGGGGCTGAGGAACTTTAGCTATGGCCTGAGCAGGCCACATACAAAGAGCCTGATTCCTGCAGACCAGCAAATGTACTAGCTGTGGGAGAAGACCTTCTAAAACCAACTGAAACAGGATGGCACTGGGATGAGGGGGGCTCGACCCAAGGAGGGGCTGGCCAGGAATTCTCTGCCCTGCCCAAAGCCCTTCCACTCACTGCACCCCAGGCCTTCACGGCTCAGCCCTCGGGTCCTGAACTACAAGGTTCTGTCTGGGTCTCCCTCTAGGAGCCACTCCCGTCCCCTGACCTCCGGCCTCTGACATGGCCTGGCTGAAGCATGACTGGGGTGTTGGGAGCTGCAGGGGGCCGGGCCCAGCTGGAGACCATTTGGCACCCAGACAGCCCGCCTAGAGTTTATGTCCTAATATGGTGATGGCCAGCAGCGGCCTGCCCAGGGACTGGCCCTCTTCAGGACTAAGGAGAAGCCACAGACCAAGAAACCTTAACCTTGGAGATCCCCAACACCCACCCCATGGACCCTAGTCATCCAGCCCCTGACCCTCATTCCTGACCAGGAAACTCCAGAGAAGTCCAGAGTCTGGAGCACGGAGACATCCAACCCTTCAGAATGGCCTAGGGATTCTGCCCCACAACCAACAGCTTTGGGCTTCTGAACTTGAGGCCTCAGCCCCCCGCCCACTCAATTCAGGATTCTCAGCGGGAGAAGCCAGAACCGCCCAGGATCCTGGCATCACACCCCCCCGCAAGCCCGCAGAAACTCTAGGTAGAAGCTCCTGACAGCTCAGGCTAACCCCAGCCCGACACGCACTCTCACACAGAGCCCCTTGGCCCTCTCTCCCTTTGTGACATTCAAGGAATTTTTCCTTGCAAATAACCCTGTCAAAGCCTAGCTTATTGCAAAAATGTGACCTGGAGCCCTGCCTGATGGCTGCAGGGGGGTGGGGGTGGAGGACATGGAAGGAAGGAAAACGGGTGGCCCGAGTCAGCCAGAGCTCCCTGAGACTCTGCCTCCCACCACCCGGCTGGGTTGACTGGATCTCTGTGAGCTGTCACATCACCTACCCCCAGCCCTCCAGCCAGACCCGCCAGGGGATCCTATCCCATCACGGGCTGGGATTATGAGGGGCAGGATCCCTGAGAGCAGCTGAAGGCAGCCAGGCCAGGGGTGGGGCACAGGGGTAGCCAGCTAGTGCAGAAAAAAATCACAGCCTGCGGGCAGCCGAAAAGAAACGTTGGGAGTCAGCGGCTGAGTTGCTTCTGGGAGCCCCGAGCTGGCCCTTGCACACACAACAGTGCCTCGCCCCCACTAGCCCGCTCTTGCTGAGCCCAGGCCCTGCCCATCACTCTGCTCCTCTTCTCCCTCTGACCTTGCCCTGCCCCAGAGTGGCTGGCTCCCTGAGGAGCACAGGCTGACTTTCAGAGGAGCTGCGCTGCAGTTCCTCGGAGAGCCACTCTGTGGCAGGCACAGCCCACACTCTTGAGACAGCCAGGGCCAGGAGCGCTCCAGGAAGTAAGGGAGGGAGGGAGGAAAGCAGAACCCCCACACTGCCCGTAGAAAGGCTGTGGGGTTCCCCCACACAAAGGGGAGGGCATGGGCTGCTCATTGTGTCAGAATGACCTTGAGCAAGTCACCTCCCCTCTCCAGGTCCCAGGGTGCTTGCGTGTAGCATGGGGGCGGTCACTCCCACTCCATAAGGCTGGAGGAACGAATGACATGACATGTGTGAAGCGGGGGCCGGACCCACGGGAGGTCCTGATGATGGGAGAAGGGAGAGAGGGACAGGTGAGTGAACGGGTCTCAGCACCTGGCTCCTGTGCCTGATGTAAAGAACACCCCACTTACACAACCTAAGCCCCAGCCCCAGCAGAAGACTCCTGGCTCTGGGTCAGAAGGCTGGGTGCCAGCCTTTGCCTGCCTCCTGGGACTCGGGGCACCCTGTCCCTGTGGGGATGGAAACAAGGAAAGGAGACACAGTCACACATAGACAGAGGTCATGTAGCTCACAGCAGGTCACCAAGGCGGGAGGAGGCGGGCAGCAGAGGGGCCCTGGGGGAAAACCAGGCCTGGACACATTCCAGGTGTAGCAGGCACAGCTCCTCCTGAGCCCAGAGAATGCAGTGGATCATCAGAACACAACGCTGGCTTGCTCTCCTCTGGGGCCAACCCACGCCCAGCAGTGCACCCGGGGACACTGTCCCTGCCCAGCCTCCCAACCCATCTAGGGGCCCCACCCATGGTCCCAAATCTTATTTCCCACCTCGGCATCCCTGGCCTTGGCTGGGCCCCAGGTAGGAGCCACACTCGGCCTTCGCAGGGGTAGGCCTTATCCATCAGGGCGGCATGGGTTGGGAGGAGGCTGGCAGGGACCCTGAGTGTCCTTGAGCAAGCTTCGTCCCCCGTGAGTCCTCACTGAGTGCATGCGTGTGAAGCATCTGGGGCAGCATGAACGACACAGACCTGGCACCTGCCCTCACTGCGCCATGGACTCGACAAGACCCCAATTTAGAGCCCGGGCGAGATGGAGGAAGCGAGAATAACCCAGGCAGAGGGAGGCGCCCAGGTAGCAGAGTTGATCTGCTTGACCATCAGGAGACCTGGGCAATTGCTGTGTGACTGTGGGCAGGTCATCCACCCCTCTGAGCTTCAGACTTCCTGGGGGTACCACCAGGACAAGTGATTTCTGCCCTGGGTGCCAGATGAGATGACAGATGGCCCTGTGGAAGCATCCAGAGCTGTAACGAGGCAGGGTGCAGGGGCCCTGCAGGGAAGGTGACCTCAGGGAGGCAGCCATCCTAGCCCAGGTCACCTCCCTGCCTCGCTCCCAGCAGGAGGAGCTGGGCCCAAAGTCACTCTGAGGGCGGGAGGCTGGGGCCCCAGTCGGCCCTGTCCGCCCCCAGGCAGAGAGGCTGTCTCCACGCAGCCCAGGGCTGTGCAGTGTCAGGTTATATTTAGCCTGGTGGCGGCGACAGGAAGATGCAGAAGGAGCCACTCCTGGACGGGGGCCACCGTGTCGCTAACACTGCTCTCATGGGCAGCCAGGGGCCTAGGGAAGCCAGGGACATTGAAGGCCCAGGGGACAGAGTGGGGGAGCCTGAGAGGCCAGCCAGTGAATGAGTGAGTAAGCGTGCGCGCGTGCGTGCGTGTGTGTGTGTGTGTGCGTGTGCGTGTGTGGAGGGAGAGAGAGAGACAGACAGACAGACAGACTGTCCTCTGCCCCTGCCTCCACGGGCTGAGTGATACCCACGGGGAATACTCACTCTGGGGCAGGAGTTGGAAGCCACAATCTAGACCACAGCTCACACAAAAGGGGCATCTCCAGACAGACCATCCACCACCCTCTCAACCTGACACCTTCCCAGGGATTTAGAGGGCCATACAGAGGGCCTCAGGGGCCTATGCACAATCATCTTGACACCACCCCCCACCCCCCGCCGCAGCCCACCTGTGCCATCTTCCCCCCACTGTCCCCTACCACGGCGACTGCCTCAAGAGATATGCTCCTTCTAGAAAAGTCCTGGGGCCCAGCCCAGCCCTGCACCAGTCTGCTGGATGGCACTCAACCTCTCAGGAATGCAGCCTCCTGGTCTATCAAGTGGGAGTCACCGGCCCTGCTCCCCAGAAGCCCTGGGAAGATGAAGGAAGGTCATCCTTATGCGCAGAAAGCTGCTGTCACGGATCCATTCTCATCCCCCTGTTCCCGGAGGCCTCCACACTTCACCTATCTCCTCTGACTTCCTGGAGTCTGTCCCCCGCTGAGAACAGGATCCCC